ATCTCTTCTATGACTTGCCTTACCCCCGAAAGGCTGCCATCCTTTTTCAAAACCATAACAACAGGGCCTGGTGGCATGGCTTAGTGGCTAAAGTCCTCACCTTGAACGCCCCGGGATGCCATATGGGCGCTGGTTCTGACGGAAGATCTTCCTCTCTGTCTCTCCTCCTGTCTGTATATCTGACTTTCCAATAAATAAATAAATCTTAAAAAAAAAACATAACAACATAAAATCTTGGCATGACTTGAACTGTTCTCCTGTTCTATCATGTCCTATTGTTGATTTTTCTTGTGATTTTCACACCCAGACTCCCCTTTCACAAAAATTTCAGCATTAAAAATCTCCTTGACCTTCAAGTGGGACAATATCCCCTTTGTCTTTGCCATTAGATCACAAATCATAGTTTCCACTTTATATTCTGGCCAGCAACTACCAATCAGTAGGTAACATCCAAAAACTGTCATTCAAGAATGTTTCTCTTGGGATTCTTGGGCAGCTTTCCTTCTCATATCTCATTGTACACTGCATTTTCCCCCTCTTAAATCCTAGAGTTTTCTTTGTAGTGAGCACTAAACATTTGGCACCTCTTGCGCTAGAATATAAGCTCCATGATTTACTGAAATTGATTTCCCCCATATCAAGCACAGTACCAAACATATAGGAAGCATTAAATAAACATCTGCTGAGGAAATAAGCCAATGATTCTATCTCACGTGGGTTTTCTACTGGAGTTTGTTCTGATGAAAAATACATGTATTAATACAAAACTAGAAAATACAGAGATTTTGAAATTATACACGTATACATATACGTATATATATATATATACATATATATACACACATACATTCTGATCACTATTACCTTAGTTTGATATTTTATAAGTATTTTCATGGTTAAAGGTTCGATGGTATTTATTAAGAATTATCATGGTGTTTGTGTGTTTTGGGAATGGGTACTATCTTCTTGCTCATCTTAACAGTTCAGGAATGTCAGCACTTGCTTGCCATTGTTTTTTGTGGGAAATGCACAGTCTTGCAGTAAGGCAAAATGGGAAGACTCAAGCTACTCTAATTGTTAGACAGGCATGAGTTGGCCCATAAGAAATGGCCATTTTCATCATGAAACTCTCACCACCAGTGAAACATCAGCAATAACCTGTGGTTTAATAAGTAAAAGAAAACCAAGGACTTCAACTCCTTTCCTGGACATGTGACTATTGAAAATCCACCAGGTTATCCCTTCAAAAACTTTCTAAAATATTGTAGGTATCAGAAAACATAAAAATAACATAGGTTGGGTCCAGCATGGTAGTCTAGTAGCTAAAGTCCTTGCCTTGCATGTGCCAGGATCCCATACGGGTGCTGGTTCGTGTCCTGGCGGCCCCACTTCCCATCTAGCTCCCTGCTTGTGGCCTGGGAAAGCAGCTGAGGATGGCCCAAAGCCTTAGGGACCCTGCATCCACATGGCAGACCCCCAGGGGCCTTCCGGTTCCTGCTTTCAGATGGGCTCAGCTCCAATTGTTGTGGCCACTTGGCGAGTAACTAGCAGATGGAAGATCTTTCTCTCTGTCCTACTCTGTGTAAATCTGCCTTTCCAATCAAAAATAAACAATTCTCTAAAAAGAATAATGAAGGCTATCAACTATGGGTTTAATTATGTTTCCCTGATGCCCTAATATTGAAGTCCTAACCATTAGTACTTTGGAATATAAACTCACCCAGTAATAGAATCACCACAAACATAATGAATTAAAATGTGTCCATAGTAGAATATAGTGGGATCGTAACCCAAAGGCACAAATTCTACAAGCTAAGACAGGCCTTGATACCATTCCTCTCTAACGCTTTAAAAGACAACGAGGCCCTGCTGTTTTCCAATCTCCATAAATCAAAGACAACACATTTCTGTTTTTAGGCCATTTGCTGTTTGATACTTTGTTGTGGTGGCCCTAAAATATTGTATCATCTAATGTGGCCTAACAAGACCGCTCACTTGAAGATAAGATTCAAGGCTGGTGCAGTTTCCAATCTCACAACTGCTGGCTGCCCCAAAGATGAGTCATGAAAGGAAGGAAGGTACAGGTGCATTTTGGAACTGTTAGTAAGCAAACCAAGATCCAGAGTTTTTGCTTCTTGTGCCTAAATTCATCATGTTCCCCCCAAAGTGTTTGAATCCTGGGGCACAGGCAGGGAGAGAAATAAAGTTAGGATTTCAAGTAGATTTCTAAATCTTGTTGGCCTGGAAGAGTTGCCTCTGACGTTTGCAAGGAAGATTTCTTAGCTTTATATAACATGTTTGGCTTTAAGTCACAGCTTGGAAGAACCTTATATATTTGACTGGGATAAAGATTTTCTGTCCTTTCTAATCTGTGGATATTAAAATGAAGTCATGATTTGATACATGAAAGAAAGAAACAGATTATGTTGCTAGCAAATTGGTTTTCTTGGATCAACAATTTGGAGAAGTGAATACTAGAATTGGTTGCTGTGAAGCACAGCATTAATCTCCAGCTGAGACCCTCTGCTGATGTAAGATATCACAACTGTGCATTTTCAATGTGACTCTTTAAAAACAATAGCAAATGTAGAGTCCAGCAGTACTTGGCCTCCGCAGATAACACTGTTGTCCCTAGGCAGGGTATTGCAAGGGCCTCTGGATTGATGGCTTTAGAAGTTGACAGACCCTTTCAAATTTTTTATTAAAATCCCCAGGATTGGAGACAATGAATACCAGTTGGCTGAACCACGAGTCGAGATTTTTTTTAAAGGTAAGAATCTGCTCAGCACTGCAGCCTTTTTGCAAACAATTTTTTTTTGCAGAATGAGAGCAGCTGTTTGCACACTGTGCTGTGATGGAGAGGGAAATTTTCCATCTTGTTCCTTTGCAGCCATAAGTGGGCATACAGAAATACACAGAAACATATCTATGCAGGTATACTCTTCCCAACCTCTCTCTTTAGTCTGTCCCTCTATACCTCGCTTCTTTTTCACACTCCTACTCCCTTTGTCATTTGTGCCATGAGAGGACAGGGTGTCTGATGTCTGTTTCCATCCCACTGAGTAAGAAACATTGTAAAGGAAAAGATTGATGCTTGTATGGGGACCAATGGGCAACCTGGGATCTCTGGGATGAGACACTGAACTATGGATGGCTCTGCAAGCTTTAGAGCGAGAAGTGGCTGTATGAGTTCTGCGCTGTTCACCCTCTCCTGGGAAGCTGCTTCAGCAGAATCTGGGCTGTGACTGCTGGAGCTGCTGCCAGCTGAGGAGCTGAGGCCCAGGGCTCCAGTGCAGGCATTACATAAATCAATGCCAATTTAAAAGGGAAGATTATTTTAACCTTGGAGTGTCACTTTATAGGTCTCAATACATGGCCATTATTTAATCTCCAGCGAAGTTTCACTCAGCCTATCGCCCTCCCCAACCCTTCCTCCTTTCCTCCTGCAGTCTTTGTGTTCATTTGCTACAGCTAGCCCAAGAGGCCTGCAGTAAGTTGCAAAATGAAGCCACCTAGGTAACCAAAAACAGATGAGAGATGGAGACACTGCCAAATGACAGCATGCATCTTGCTCATCTTGGCACATTTAGGCCAAGGTGGGAGGAGGCAGTCGAAGACCTTCAGATGTCAAATGGGTCTAGTGCATCACTTAGGAAAAATAGGTAATCTAGTTTCTTAGCCAGTCATGCTTCATCTTGAAGTCACACCAGGGGCACATGTAGACCAAATACAAGCTTCAATGACACAGTAATGGTTCTGGAGCTCCTTTTTGATGTTAGCTAGGTTCAAAGTGTACTGGTTTGCTAGTATTAAGATTCTCCACTTGGCTGCCTCATTTTTGTTTTTAAGTTCAAGTTTAAGAATTTACATTGTCATTTTCAGACTCTATAGTAAAAAAGCCCCATATATTTTCATTTAACGGAAAACTGACTCATTGGTAAAATAAATTGTACATAGAACAAGTGTTGGGAGACCTGTAAAGATACGAACTTTTAAATTTTTGCAAGGGATAGCAAATATTTAAATAGCAGAGTAGCAGCTTAATAAATTTTATACCAAGGGTGATAGCACTATACCATTTTTAAAGTTGTTCTAGCTGACACTGTGGCATTAGAGCCAACTTATTCTCATTTTGAAGCTTTTATGATAAATTCTGTTTTTTTCTGACAGTAAATGCCATTACATTGATTGAATTTAGATGTGTTTCAGTTTGTTCTTTCTACTTGTGCCAAATCTCACGTTTATAAAGGCTGAGATAGACCTATAAAACTGATTAAAATTAGGATATGAAAACATTTTTATAGTATTATATTGCATGAAAAATCTATATAATGAGAACATTTAAAATCAGTTCACTTTTAAATTAAAATGCATAAACCATCTTCTACAGATTTTATTTTGAATTTAAAATCACAAATCATCTAGCTCTTTATGGTAACCTTAGTCTGATGAATAAAAGAGCTGAGGTTTCCTATTAATTAGCTCAGGCAACTGCCTCTGCAGGGCCTATGCTGGCATGTACTATATCTGGGGTTTCCAAGCAGGAAGGGACTAACTGTAGACAGAAGGATTATTGGGAAGTAAGAACACAGGAAAAAACATCACAGTGAGTGTTGCTAATGTTTTCTGCAGTGCAGGTATCAGTGATGAGCTATTCTGCTAATCGACAATATTCAGTAGACAGAATGCTTCACATGAAATAATCAGGCCTCGGGTATTTGTTATAGAATGATGGCTCAGTCAATTTCATTTACATCTTTAAATCTCCTTACTTGCTGACATTCTTTCTCAATACTTTTTTTAAAAATCTTATAAAGCTAAAGACATCTGTGTTTATCGTAAGATGCTGAGTAAAATCCTTCTTGACCTTTATTTGTGGAGATATGTTTAAGCACATGTAAACATGTATTAAAGCCCGGAAGTAAGGAATTAATAAGTATTTGCCCCCCAAAAGTAACATAAAATCTCTGTGTATATAAGATGTTCTGCTTGAGCCATACCTTGTTATAATATTCACCAAAATTCTGTTGTACTCCTTGTAATCCTGGAGGTCCCTGTGTGAGAAACAAACCAGACAAGCATGTAAATAGTCATCAAAACAATATATATTGTACATCTAAGAATTCCTGGAGCCATATGAAAAAGAATCTCAGTTAACTATTTTAATTACCTAGAGTTACAAATTCATGGACAATATCTTCTTATCAGGTTTCTATGGGGCTTTCTGGGTTAAGTCCTGCATGAATTCAGAGAGCTCTTAAGCAGGACAAGTGATGGTGTACCAGCATGCCACCCATCAGCACGTTCTTTATTAAAAGCAATTGCACCTGTAAGACTCTAGCAGGGAAACTAGTATATCCTTGTGTTTTTGGCATTTCTCACATAGTTTCAATGAATGTATTGTAGAAATGTGTCTCCACATGTTACTAATTTGGGGACTATTTTTTTCTGTTGCCTTCCTCTTTTGAACTAGTTGTATGAAAATTGGCCATACATGGGCATTAGGGTCTGAAAAACATGTCTGGTATAAAACCTCAGACTTCAGACATTTAAATATTCAGTTTTTTTTTAAGTTGGTCTGGCAATGTTCCGGAAGTACTATGCTGAGCTGGGGTGGATAGGCAGAAGAAATGTTTGTTTTTAAGGCTTCTACGAAGAGAGAAGTTTTCCAAGTTTTTTAGGGATTACTTTTTGGGAAGGGAGCCATGAGAAAATATGAAGCTTAGCATTATTTTAGATCAAGCAGTTCAAGCCAAAATGAATTTAGCTATCTCATAAAAGAGATTGCAAATTTCATCCAGACCTTGAAAGTTAGGAGGAAAGAAAATATCATTAGAAGCAAAACCCTTATCCTTTCTCCTTGGAAGACAAGACTATAACAAGAGCAAATCAAACAGATCCATTATATGAAGATTATTCTTTTAAAAATGGAATGAAACCTTTGAAACCTAAAGAAGAATTTCATGAAAAACTGCTGACTTCATTTACTAACAAAGGTAAGACCATGGCCATATAGAAGAAAATTAATGTAGCTAACATGGGTGCCAGGTGTTTTTTAGGAACAATTTGCAACTGAAGATCTCTTCCTATTCAAAATCTGCATTGTGCCATGAATGCTAAGGACACAAGGATGTGGTGATGGATGCTTACAAGCAGTTGGTAGAACTCTTGAAGATAATGGGACTCACAAGCAATGGAGCTATGATTGGAAAGACGAAGTTGTTACCTTGTAAAAGAAAAGGAAAGCTAATGACAGAAAAGAACTCTTGTGACATTGTGAATTTTTCATGTTACTGTTTTATCAGCCAGCTTTGTGCAAAGTATTCTAGGTCAGTTAGCTGAAATAATGAGCAAAACAATCACCAAGTTGAGAATTGCTATAAATTTCTTGCCAAGAAAATGTAAATAAGAACACATTCTCAGTACTCAGGGGACAGGGATTCGATACATATTGATACTTTTACATGGAGGATTTTTGGATACCATATGTAGTATACCATATGTAGTACTATCAAATATTCTCAGAGATACATGCAGAACAAGTACTCGGTGAATCATAGTGCCATTTAGATCGAGTTGTGGTGGGGTAAGAAAATTTACCCTCAAACAGACATTTTAGTTAAAAAGGAAAATATTAATTATTGCAGATCCCAAATGCAGAATAATTAATAGCATAGTTTCTAAAATAAAGTAGAAGTATCAGTTTAATAATAATAGCAAGCATCTATGCAATGTTTACTGTGTGCTATTAAATATAACAGGGATTTTATATAAATTAACTAATTTAATATGCACAATGACACTGTGAGGAAAGCCCTGTTATTCATCTCTATTTCAAAGAAGAAGAGAAGGTTTGAAATGCTAAATGGTTCACGATGTACTAATGGTATGAGGCAAGGCCAGTATTTTCACATCAGCACTGGGCCCAAAGTAGGCTCTCACCTACCATTTAATTAGATCATGAGCATTAATGATGAAATCCTCTTTGTTACTGTTTTAGTAGCTGGGATCCTTTGGGTACTATAAATTTCAAGTTTAATATAACAGATTTAAGATCTGTCCCATAGGAAAAACTTTGCACAAGCTTGGCCAGCAGGCTGAATGAGCCCTGCAGAGACTGAAAGAAGATACCAGCCCACAGTCTCAGGGAAGTCTATCCTTTTATCAATGGCAGCCAGTGTGGCAATGGCTCGATTGGTGCTTCTGAAACTGCAAGAAAGAAACAACCTCAATTAACAGATAAACTCTATGCAAAAAAATGTCAAGAAAAGCTCCCTGTTCTGGGTTAGAGGAACTATACAGAGCTGAATTTTGGAACATGTGGCGCTTACAAACTGTAACACCAAAAAATGTTTGCTCTTTTTTCCTATCTTCAGTCCTGATAGGCAACATGGCTGCTGAGGATCCTAACAGTCAGTTTCCAAGGTTAGTAAGAGCTGTCAGTCTTGTGGGCTATCAATCAACTCTAAAGGAGATGTTAAACACATCTGGTAAGTGACAGGTCTCCAGGCATCACAGGATGTTAGTAGATGCTCCAGGGTACCTCGAAGGTCACTTTCTGGGAGGTTTGTGCTTCTATGGATCTATCAAGGAGACATTTAGATCAGCCAAGTACAGGTGGAGTTAGAGTCCAGTCACAGAGGGCATGTCAGCCTTGGCTAATGCTGCAAAGGAGCTCCATTAGGAAAACCAGCTGAAGGTTTATGGAAAGGAAAACTGTCCCAGCTCATAACAATGACTCTCAACATGACTGGAAGTTATGGTTACACAATGTCTATCATCCATGGTACTCTTTCACTTTACTTCTAGTGCACTGGAAGATACAGGACATTTAGGTTAATGTGATTACTACATGATTGCAGAACAATTTTAAAATGAAAATGAACTCCAGAGCGACATCTGTTTGAAACCCAACTGCACTGATACAAAATCCTCGGAGAGGTCTATCAACATTACATATAGATCCTGGTGGTATTTCCCACTCTGAAGAATCATTCTTGGAATGGTGAATAAATTAAGGTGTTTTCCAATTTGAGAAGTACACACTCGGGAAATAGTTTCGATGATATTTTAGTAGTTTTGGTGAAAATCTTGCTTCAATTGGAAAAGAGAAATACCACAATGTATGTCCCAGGAGTTATCAGATGTGTAGTATAAAAAAGATGAGCCAATTACATAACCATTTACAGAATAGATTTGGCTTTAGTTGCATGGTCCCAACATTTAATATTGCAAAGAATTTTATTTCTATTAGAAAAAAGGGAACACTTGATCTTAGCCAAAAGGCTGTTAAGAACCCGCATTTTCCTATTAACACATTGTTAATCAATACTATGTCAATTAATGCCATAAGGTTGTAAATGGTTGTTGATGATATGTCGGGGCTTTTAATTGATTGGGATGATACTTTGCCGGCTTTACCTTCAGACCAGAGATGGTCTCACCAAGAAATCGTTGAACCCACTAGGATAATAAAACGCTGGACTTTATGCTTGGTAAATACTTCCAATGAGAGAACCTCAACTGAATTTGAACTGTGGTAATGCAGCAAGGTGGAGAAATCCACCATGGGGAGAGGGTTCGGGGAGAGGTGGGGGGAATCCCAGCGCCCACAACACTGTGTCACATAATGCAATGCAATTAATAATAAAAAAAAGGAACACAAAACATGCTACCTGAGTTCTGATCTTAGCTGCACTTTCACTTTTCAGCCAATTCCATCTGGTATTCTTTGCTTAAAGAATTTTTTGTTGTTGTTTCTTTTTGCATAACTCCTAAACCTGCCCCTATTGCTTATTGTAAACTCTATGTGCACATCTGGGCTTCAGCACTTTGTTTCAGCTATAGGGTACCCTAGACACTGTCCATTTAGATTCCCCATGGCTCCTCAGTTAACACCTTTGCACACACTCTTACCTTCACTCCTGAACTGTTTTTCCTTCTTCCACCCTTTTCTCTGGATGCACTGTTAGATCTTTGTAACTTTGCTAGCATAGCCTCCTGAAGCCTTCTGGATGCCACTTATCTTCAGGAACCACAGTTCTCTGGTCCCCACCCAGGATTTACAAACATATTTTCAGGTTCTATACAACTACTTCTAACCCTGTGGGTTTCCAATTATCTTCAGGGGCAACCTTTGAAACCCCAAGACCTCTGTGAAGGAAGTTGTACTGATCAGATCCCTCTAAAACATGCTAAAGGGGGCTTTGTTTAAGTGGAATGTCATTTGAGTTAATTTTCGGGGAACATTTTCAATGTGCTAATGGCTAGTAAAAAAGGCATATATCAGTGGTTATTTTTTCCTTGGTATTTTAAGTAAGTCACTAGGAGTTTTAGACTCAGACACGGAAATGACAGCATGAAGTAACAATAGTTTGAAAAACGAAAGTCAAAATGAGTTTTTCCCTAATACGTGTTTTCAATTGTAACACATCATACAAAACTTAGGAAAAGCTCCTTTATATTGGATACAATGGCCTGTGTTTGTTTCATCCACAGTTGGAATGAAAACTCCTTGAGGGCAAGGAGATTCAATCTTTTCAAATTCATCTTTATATAGACCTTGGTAAATGGTTACTTCCCAGTTTATTGTGCCCCAACCCAACACAAACCAATCAGCACCAAATGTTTCTTAAATGCAATGGATTCACTGCTTTCACAAGAAAAATCCTCTGGGGAAAGTCAATTTCTTGCTTGCTGTTTCTAGCTTTAGCTAGGAACAGTATCAAACAGAGCAAAGGGCTTGTTGCTTCCAAATTCACAGAGAACAGGGCCAACGGATTTCGATTAATTTAAGCAGCTGACTACTTAATTGAAAGCAAAGCTCTAGTGATCCTTGGTTCAGAAAGAAAGAATTCACGAATGGATTTATAATTACAATACATCATTTTGTACTGTAATTGTGAGAAAAAGAAATCCATAATGTTCTTTATTTGGAAAATATTCGAGAAAGCAATTTCTTCCCTTAAAAAACCCACAGGTTCTTATATTTGTGTTAATATTTGCTATAAATGATTCTTTAGTGTCTCTGGGATTTAATTATATAATTTAAACA